GGGATTAAATCCACCAGAAGTAGGTATGTCCAATTGTTCCTTTGGATCAGCAAATAATTCATTACTCACATTATCTTTTTTTTTTTTTTTGGAAATGTCACTCCGTGTTGTAAATCACTGCTGCAAATGCCAAGGCGGGGATTTGTTTTAAAGAGAAAATTAAATTTTAGGGCCAATTCACACAGTAGTTTTCCCCTCGAAGCAGAGCTGCCCATCTCCAAAGGCAAAATGCACTTGGAGGATTTCCCTCCCTTCAAGGAGTGATTCTCCATGGGGGCAGCTCCTGCCTGGGCATATGGGATCATGAAATATCCTGAGCTGGAAGGGATCCCTAAGGATCATCCAGTCCAACCCCTGGCCCTGCACAGACACCCCAACAATCCCACCCTGTCCCTCAGAGCGTTGTTTAAATGCTTCTTGAGCTCTGGCAGCCTTGGGGCCGTGACACTGCCCTGGGGAGCCTGGTCAGTGCCAACCACCCTCTGGGGGAAGAACCTTTTCCTGAGATTCAACCTGACCCTGCCCTGGCACAGCTCCAGCCATCAGATCCTGAGGGATAAGCACAGCAGCTGGAGCTCCAGCAGCTCCCTTCCTGAGAGCTGGGAGGTGACTCCATAGGGTCACTCAGGTGGGAGCTGCTGCCCTGGGAGGGGATGGCAGGTCCCTTCCATCCCTTCCACAGGTCCCTTCCATCCCTCCCATCCGTGGGGAAACAGAGGCTCAGAGGGGTAGGAGAGGGGAAGAGGCAGCCTGTGGTTTTGTGTGGCAGCTCAAATTCCTGCCAGGGCACAGAGGAGGGGAGGGAGGGGGCCAGCTGTGCCCAGGCTGTGCCCAGGCTGTGCCCTGCTCCCCGAGGGGGTGAGAACCTCCATCCTTCAGCACAGCAGCTTTCCAGGCTCAGGGTGTGTTGTGGACTAAGAATTTCCTCAAGAAATGAGTTTCTGACACGCTGCTGAAACTGGGGAAAGATGTAATCCAGGTGACACCCTGTGCCTGAATGGCTTTTTTTGTTTTGTGGGGAAGGGAAGGTTGTGTGGAGAAATCCCAGCACCTGCCAGGATCTGGAGGAAGCCAGAGAGGGGCTGCTCATCAGGAACTGGAGTGACAGGACAGAGAGTGATGGGTCCCAACTGAAAGAGGGGACATTTGGGTATAAGGAAGAAATTCTTCCTTGTGAGGGTGGTGAGGACCTGGCACAGGTTGCCCAGAGGAGCTGTGGGGCAGGTCTGGGGGGCACATCCAGAGCCTGTGGACAAAGCTGAGCAGTGACCACGGCACAAGACTGGCCTGAGCCCACCTGGGGTCAAATTCCCAAAAGGGATAGAGGCACTAATGTCTGGGTCACAGAATCACTGACTGGTTTGGGGTGGCAGGGACCTTAAAGCCCATCCAGTTCCACCCCCCCTGCCATGGGCAGGGTCACCTTCCACCATTCCAGGTTGCTCCAAACCCTGTCCAGCCTGGCCTTGGACACTTCCAGGGGTGGAGCAGCCACAGCTTCCCTGGGCAGCCTGTGCCAGTTGCACATTAATGACACGTGTAATTAATCTCAGGATGTGCTTTTCCAAAGCCTCTGGGTTAATTCCAAAAGGAGGATGTGTACAGGCAGTTATTACCATTTAATTGCTGCTTCTAATAATGAGCCTAATCCAAGGCATTTTGTGAGTAGAAGGTGACGTGGAATATCCTGAATATCCTGAGCTGGATTCCCAAGGATCATCAAATCCAGTGTCTCTGTGTTGGCCTTGTTGTTGTGGCATCATTCAAACTGATGGTTTGTTGTTGCTGGGAGTGTCAAGAAGCTCCATTTGTTGGGAATAAAGTAGGATTTATTTTCTGCATTAGTTAATGGCACTTCCTTCCCTCAGTCTGCATTAGAACTTGAGGGTACAAATCTCAAGTAGAGCAGCAAACCCCTTAGTAACACTTTAACTGGATTTATTAGGTTTGTTTGCTTGAATAAATCTCAGAATCCTCAAGCACTTTCTTCTCTGAAGATTAACAAGGAACTTGGTTTCCTGACACTGTGATTTCAGCAAATGATGGGTGTCTTTCTGCCTTCAGAGACCCCAACCTATATCTCTTTTTAGGTGGCACAAGAGGCATCAGTCCCAAAGTGTGCCCCTGTACTGGGGAGTTCCCAGACTCAGGGATTACACAATATTCCTCCAGCAGGTCCTTAAGCCACTGCAGTCAAGTAGGTTCAAGAGATTCTAAGGACACATAAATCTGTGCCACCAATACACACCAGCACAAATTTGCAGGATATTCACACAACACAAATACTGCTACATGCTAATTTTAGAAGCCATTTTTACATCACCAAGAGTGAAAAACATCACACACCTTTACTGTGAGCATCAGTTGGGAAGAAATAATACTGTAATTTTTGTACTTGAAGAAAAGTTTATGGCTATTATTTAATGCCTGTTACAGCCCAGTTCCTATCTGTGTGTGGAACTCGTTTGCTCTTCATGTTTCTCCTTGTGCTTTCCATTCAGCCTCTGCCATCTCTCCCCTGTTGTTGGCCTTGCCCAGGTAATGAGCTGGTGAACATTTGGTGCCAATTAGGGGAAATTCCAGGCTACTGATACAGTTACAGATGTTGATTCTCAGAACTGTGTGAAACGCGGGGACCAGGTTCTGACCCATTCCTTCCAGAGGAGACCAACACCAGTGACTTCAGCTGAGCCCCTCCTGATTTACAGGAGTTACTGTAAATTTACTGAGTTATCCCCAGTAAAGCCCCTGGCCCTGCCTATTTCCCTGGTCCAGTTCTGGTTGCTTTGGGGGATTAATTATCCTGCAGCTTGGATAGGGCTGACTATGAGCTCCTGAACCAAATGTAGGTCTGAATATGCTTTACTAGTTATGAGAAAGACCCTTTGGATTGTGTTTGGAGCTTGGGATTCAGAGGTTGAATTCCAGCTGCAGTGATCCTAGGCAAGCTGCTAAATCTCTCCTCTATGCTTATCTATTCCACTTACACCACAGTTACCTTGTTTTCCTACAAAACCCATAGGTTCTGCTCAGGGATTTTAATTTTTGAAACACTCTGAATGCCTCCTGTTGAAACTTATTCACTTTGAACAATCTTTTCATGCCTATATTGAAAATATTAACAGCCTGTTTGTGGGAGGGGGGGGGGAAAAGTTTCTATTTCCATCTGGAAAATGACTGAAGGGTATGTACGAAATTAGGGCTGGCCTGTTGGAACATTAACAGATTTGTCACACTCTTAGTCTCAGCTAATCCATGCAAAGTTGGGAAGAAAGCAACTCAGTGTGGATTTGGGAGCTCCTTCACTGGGTGAAGGGCTGTTCAGAATGCAGAGCAGGGGTGTCCCCAGTGCCTCCCAAACTCCAAGGTGCTGATTTGCACCTGGAAGTCACCTGTGAGGGAGAGATCTGCTGCATCTCATAGAAGACAACTGTTGTACCTTTAAATCTGTCCCTGTTCAACCCAGCACAGATAAATGGAGTTCCACAGTGGGCCACTGATGGCAGGATCCCCAGGAAAAGGCACGGAAAGGGCTGTTGATGGATCTGGAAGTCTGAGAAAGGGAACCAAGCAGTTGAACACTGCACATGCACCTGGGTCTGTGCTCCCTGTGCCCTGCCATGGCACCAGCTTTGTGCTCCTATTCCAGCCAGGTCTGGTTACAGAATTAGACTGAAGTGTCCAAATTCCAGTGTCTTTGTCACAGCTGAAGCCCCCAAAGTTTGCTGTGCTGTGGGTAAATACACAGGAGGCCAAATCCTTTGTAGTACCTTGTTCAACACTGATTAACCTGGAAAACAGGCAGAAATCAGGGAAGAGCAGTTCTTCTCCCTGACTTAGACTGGACCTACTATTTTCTCCAAGCAGGCCTCTGTTTGAATTGAAATGGAAGAAGATGCAGAGAAATATGCACAAATACCTGTAATTTCCTAATGCATATTCAGTCAGAGAAGACTTAGGAAATCAGTGCATTTTACTGCATTTCCCTCTGCCTATACGCAGTTAAGGATGGCAACTATACTTTGCACTGAAACTGTGCTTTGGTCTCAGGGTATCCCTTTTTAATTTCTGCTCTGGTAGCATTTATCCCCAAACCTTTCTGCCTGGGACCCGAGGTTTCTGCACACCCCACACTTTCTATGTGGAGCACAGGCCAAAAGAGACAAAGGCTGAAATGCAGAGGCTGCAGGAGGCTGGCACTTTTATAGTGTGGGTTTTGTTTTCTGGGTTTTTTTTGTTGTTGCTGCATTCCAGTTCTGATCCTATCTGCTGTATCAGAGCTTGGCTTCACTCCCTCATGGTTTGATGTCCCAACTTTTCCTTGTTAGCACCAGGAAATCATAAGCTTATAGTGAGTGATAGCCAGTAGGTCTGGGATTGATTACAAACAAAAATCCTAGATAAGATCATAAATTTAACCCATCCCTGTGATGTGATGGTATCAGGATTCAAGTACGTCTCAAAGTTGTTTCCGATTTTCAGCCACTTCATCTGGTTTCCATCCATCCCAGCTGGGAGCGAGGTACTCTCGTGGTGGACTCTAATCCATGCCAGCCAGGCTTGGAAGAAACCCTTGTTTCTGTTATTATTGTATTATAGAATGGATAGAAATGCTTTAGACAGGATGGACATTTCAAGGAAGATCAGTTCGAGCACCGCTGAGATAAAACTGGCTTGAATAAGATCACAGGGCTGCTTTCCCACCCTGCTGCCATCCCTCCCATTCCCTCCCTCAACTTCAGCTGCATCTGAAAAAAAGCAAAATGGTCTTTTAACACCCTGAAAGTCAGGGGACAAACACCAGAGACAAAATCTGTACTCGATAATTGCGGTCGGTCCCGGCAAACCCGAACGCTGAGGTGTTTAATGCCCATTTCTCCGTTTCAGGGAGAGATATTTGTGCTCCTTCTGGAACTGCTGCTTATCTGTTTTTACATTCTCCCTCCATCCGAGCTGCCAGCCTGCCCTGCCGTGAGTGAGTGCCGGGATGCAGCCCCTGTGCCCGGGAGCAGACCCAGCTCTCTGCCCTCGGCGGCGCCGCAGCCGATGCTCTCCCACATCCATCCCCTCGCCCCCTGGAACCAGGTGATTTAATGTTACTGTTGCTTTAACGGCCTCATCGCTGCTCTGGCTACACAGTAGTTGTCTCCTGTGTGACTGTGCCTGGGAAAATCTATTACTGGAGTGCCATTAATCTGAGGCTGCCGCCTCTGGCACTTTCTGACTCTTCTATTTAATGGGCCTCTGCTTCCGGAGCTCTGGAGACCTGCTGTTTTCCTCTCTTGATCAGCTTTGTTTAATTATCAAAATATTTGATGCAGAAAATTGACATTAGTTGTGAAGGTTTCTGCCTTCCTCCTCCTCGCAGCCCTCCCTCCCAGCTCTGGAGTGACATTGAGATCTTCGCCTGTTCCACCTTCACCTTAAAACAGCAAATTTCGGGCAAGGCTGTTTGCTCTTCTGGGCAGAGGCTGCATTAGTGAGCCCCAGGTAGCTGCTGTGACCCCTGTGCTGGGCAGAGACAGCTGCACCTTTGCCTCCTTCCTGCAGCCAGGTGGCATTTCTGAAAAGCTGGAGGAGAGGAGCCCTGGGGGTTCCTGGGCCTGGCTCCAGGCTGAGCTTGCCACTAAACGAAGGCTCAGAGAGATTCAAAACCATGGAAGTCCCTTAGAGCTGAGATCTCCACCCTGGCTTCCTACCCTGCTGTCAGAGCAGGAAGATTTAGGTTTGCTTGCCCAGTGACCACGTTCCTCATTCCAGGACTTTGGGGTGGGCCCGTGTGAAGCAATATTTAATGCTAAAACCATGATCTGGGGGCAATACTGATACCATGGGTCAGCACCTTCACAAGTGGAGAAGACAAAGCCCTGCAGAAGTCCTGACAGGAGCAGAACAGAAACATCATGGGTGAGAAGGCAAATTCAAATTGTTCAAATTTAAATTGTTCTCACTGGCCATCCTCAGCTGCTGGAACAACTAACAAACAGAAAGGGTAGGTTTTCTGTGCCTGCAGTCTCTGGAATGAGACTGGATGCCACGTCCTTTTCCCAGCAGAACTGGCCAGGTTTAGTGCAGGGTGAGAGGGGAAGTTCCTGGGCTCTGCTGTTCTCCTCAGGCCAGAGGAGCTGGTGTTTCTCTTTGGGTTTTGAGTCTCTGCTCCTCTCAGCACTGCCTGGCTCCAGAGGCAGAGCAGCCTCAGAGAGGGTCCCAAAGCATTGTCACAAGTTCTGTCTCTTGTTTCTGCTGCCTCTCTACAAAGAGCAATGAGCACTGAAATGTGAATTACTGCAATTTGGGACTACTGGGAGCCAAAGCAGGGGAGCTCTCTGTGTAAGGATGGAACACCAGTACCAGTGGTGTTTTTTCTCACATGTGCCTCTTTGCTCCACAGCACTTGTCCCTCACTGCTGCTGTTACTGCCCTCTCTTTCTCCATTACATGTGCTCTACTGTCTTCACAAGACCCAGGCAGACCATAAGGAAGGTGAGTAAAGTACAGCTGGGGCCCATAAAAGTTATCCACTTCACTGTTGCAGTGACTTTCAGCAAGTAAATCACATTCCAGCAACAATTATCCCTGTTTACCAGCAAAACCTTACATGCTGCTGTCACCCTCAAACTGGGATTAATTGCTGCTTCGTGTTTGTGTAGTTTATTTGGGTCTCACCAGGTATATAAATATTATTTCCAATTCCCCTTATTAATTTTTTTCAAAAGAATTACATTTACTGATTAATTAATATTAGGAAGCTCTCAGAGCAGCTGGGATGTTTGAAGAAAGAATTTTACAGTGATAAAAATAATGTTTAATTGAAGCCAGAACATTTTGCAGAAGGACGTGGGTTCTGATGAGGAAGCTTCTGGGCACCAGAGTGTTTTCTTCAGCCAAAGACAAAAGGACACATGGGGGGAACAGGTGACCAGACACAAGTGAATTTTGCCACTGCTCAGATGATTTTGTTCTCACTCCTTGCAAATACAAACAAGTCCAAGGTCTTGAGACCTTGCAGTGCTGTGTCACAGGATTGCTTTGCAGCTGCTTTTGTGCTCAGATGACCCTGCCAGGAGAAGAGAAGGGTCTGGGCTGAATTTTTCCCTCCCTCCCAGCTGAAGTAGGGAACACACCCCTGATATTGTGCAGCAGACAGCCAAGTGTTACTCTTTGGGCTCAGGTTTTTAGCAAATTGTCATTAGAGCTTCCAATCTGCCCTAAATAAAGGGGCAAATTGATGATTCATACACATCGACCAGTCAGCCACTAGTCCTTGGCTGTATAATAAAAAAATAAGAAGAAGAAACAAGGTTTATGGGCTCTTCCCCCCTCCCCCTCCACTTTGCAAGGTTTAATCTTGTGTGGTTTAAATTCTCCAACATCTCTCTTGCACTGCTTTTATACCTGGAACATTTTTGTTGCAGCCAGTGAAGTTTCCTGTGTGTAATTCTGTATTAATCCATTGCAGGCAGCTCTGGACCCCTCGGATAAATGGTGAGTGCACTGCAAGAGATAACGAGATTCTGCCTTTCCTTGTGAATAACCACTGCTAAAAGATCAGAGATAAACCTCGTGCTGTGATAAAGCCAGCCTGGCAGTGGGTGTTCACTGCATCACAAATTCGGGCACAAGAAAAAGGAGCAGCACCTCGAGCTTCATTTATACTGCAAATGAAAATAATCATAAAGATACAAACCACCAAGGTGCAAAACGAGTTTTCCAATTCATAAGCACAAGCCACCACGAGTTAAAACCTCTTGGTTTCTTCCCCGAGTGCCCCAGGCGATAGTTTTCATATATATTTCTCCATGGTCAGAAGTCAGAGCAGACCACTGCTATCTAAGACCTTGACTTTTTTTCCCTGACAGTTACAATTATTACAGCCCGGGGGACTCATTTTCTCAGTCTGGCCACCCGCTGACCCAGCCTGCAACCAGAATACACTTTAAAACAAACAAACACCAGCTCGGCTCCCCTCTCCTCCTCCTCCTCCCCCAGCTCTGGAATATTTTTACACCGCGCCCCTGCAGAAGGATATTAACCACTATTGCTGAAGGCACAATCACATTATCAGCACCATTCCCTCTCCCTTTCTCCCTCTCCTCCCCCCCAAAGATAAATTTTTTATGTTGCTATTTTCTTCTCTTTTGTATTTGGCATTCGATATTTACGTGATAAACTGCAGAGCTGCTGCTAAATGGGCCCTGATACAACTTAATAAATACATAACAACATCCAGACTGCACCGTATTACTGCATCCCGGGCTGCCAGGGAGCCTGGGAGATAATGTCTGCTGAAGGGAAGTTAAGCCTTACTATAGGGAAAATAGATACTTTCTTATTCTGGAATAATTAATGGCATGAAAGGAGCTGGCTGACAATCCTGTCTCTCCGTTTGCCTTTCTGAAGTGCACACACACACACACACACACACAGTGTTTCCCTCTCCCATTCCCTGTGTTGGAGCACCAAACTCCTCGGGATGCACAGGAAGGAAAACACAACTAACAATTTGTTACTTGTCTCCCCTTGTCTGCTGTCTCAGCCAGGGAATGTCCACAAGGAAAGCCCGGCATTTGTGGGCTGAACTTTGGAAGGAAGTGTGTGTGGAGCTGCCTGGACCTCACTGAGAGAGACATGAGAGGGGACAGAGCACAGATGTACAGACAGGAGGGCAGATCCCAGGTACAGGCCTGTGAGGGAGGTAACTCACCTTCACCTGAGTTGCACAAACCTTTCTCTGTTCTCAGAGTTTAATATTTCTAAAGCTTTTTTTCCAAACTTCTAGTGTCTTTAATTTTTTTTCATTTTTTTTTTTCTTTGCACACAGGAAGCCATTTAACCCAGGTAATTGTGGATTGCACGGTGGAGAAAATACTCCCCCCATATATGCCAAGCACTGACCAACATTCAGTGAGAATCATCACTCCAAGTCCTGGAAACATGGAATCACAGAATCCCAGAGTTTTTTGGGTTGGAAGGGCCCTAAAAGATCATCCAGCCCCAACCTCCTGCCATGGGCAGGGAACCCCCCTCAGATCCCCTTTGGTTCCAGTGAAGTTGTTTCTTCAGGTGTAGGTCCCCAGGCATCCCATTAACCAATGCTGGGATATGTTTTTATGGAAATAGCATTTCCTTGTTTAATTCCTGATGATGAGACTGGTCAGAGAGTCAGTGTGAAGAATGAAGGTGACCTGTGAGGATTGAACATCCCTGATCCACACGACGTAACTTTGGTTCCTACACTGCACACACAGGTGTGTTGTTATCTCTCCAGGAAAAAAAAGCAGAAATTATTCCAGAGTTTGTATCAACCACAGAAGAACATTTAAAGAAATATTTCAGCAATCTCTAAAATCTCCATGGTTTTGATAGGAGCAGCTTTTCCTGTGATAACACAGGTGCAGAGGATGAATGCCTGCACTGACACACATCCACTCACGGACACATGGGGAGGCACATTCAGGAATCGTTCCTCTAATTTCCCCCTGCTTTCCTTTCCCAAAATGGCTGTCTTTTCTTTACCACAGTCTTTTCCAACTGTGTCCTAATTGCTGAAACCTCCAGCATAAAGTGCCATCAACCAAAATGAAGCGAGGCAGACTCACACAAGCTGCAAAACTTTGCAACACAAAGCCACCGCACAAAGAGTTGGGCTCTATAGAAACCCCAGTGAATGCCAGGAGGAATCCCAGAAAACTTTGCACGATGCCTCAAAATGCACCCCAGGGATCCCGAGCTTGTTACCTCCTGACACCATCTCTGTAAAGGGAACGCTCCCAGGGCTCGGATTCCCCCGGGGTCCTGCGCATTCAGCACCGGCCTTGGGGAGTTTCGGGTCTCACAAAGAAGACAACGAGGACCTTTGATTGCCCCGTTGAAGCTCCTGGTAAGCAGCAGGTCACCTCCCCGCAGCCCCTCTGAGCCTGGATGTGAAGGTATTTTCATCCCCGCTTGACAGGTGACTGTTTTACCAGACGGGGTTGTCAGTGCTGCTGGGGGTTATCTGGATTTAGCTGTAGGCAGGAACTGAACCACAATGAGCATTCAAAAAGCTCACTGTTCTTCGTTTGTTTAGAGACAAGCCATCTTAAACTTGTTTGAAGCCTTTTTTATTGAATTCACACTCTTGTGCCAAGCACTGAAAGATTTACTTTGGCTATTGCTGGAAGATGGAAAGCATATGAATGCGTGGCCGGCTGCCAGCTGCGGGTGAGCTCTGAAAGCTGCGCTACAATGGAGGGTTACAGGGAACAAATGTGAATGCGGCGGGCAGACGTGACTAAAGAGAGGCTTTGGCATTCAAAGAGCTGCCGGAGGTTTAATCCCGCCGCTGAAGTAGGGTCAGGAGATAACACGTTCTAACCTGGAGAGCTTTTTCCCCGGGCGGCAGCTGAGGAGGGGCGAGCCACAGGTACCCACGTGCGCGGTGCCAGCTGCTCCCTCCCCTCCCGGCTCCTGCTCGGCCGCGCTCTCCATCTGCGGAGCCGGAGACCCAGTTGGACTCATCCAAGGCAAGGTACCCCAATGGCTGTTGTGTGTCTCTTGCAGATGTTGCCGTAATTTTGTTGTGGTACAATTTGACGTACGGCTCCCCGCTGCATCCGAAAGGGGCACATTATCTCAATTAATGTTTCACAGCAAACACGGCACTGATAGTATTCATGGGACTAAAGACTATTACCATTTGCATGGTGACTAGCACAAGAATTATGACTATGTGTGTTTTCTGCAGCAAAATTTGCCCTCAGGCTCCCTTTTTTTTTTTTTTCCTCCTTTTTGGCTTGTGACAATGTTCCCTTTTTCTTCCTCCTTCTGTTTTGATTTCTACTTAAAGTTTTATGGCTCTGTCCCCTCCAGGGTGCTATTATCTTGTATGCTAATAGGGCTATGCATATTCTATTAGCGTTGTCAGTGTGAGATAAGAGGCACATTCTGTAAGGAGCACTCAGGGGGTAATAATCCCAGCAAGGGGTCTCAGTGTTAGTACATTATCAGTCATCTTCACATTTCAGTGGAGCCTGTTTATGCACCTCTTCAGCTGCGCAACTCAGACACTGAAAATTGCTGAATGTTTACGGAAACTGTTGTAGAGGAACATAATGGGGTTGGAGATTGACTTGATAAAGGAGCCTTCTCCCTTGTCGCTTCCAGACACACGACGTTTGGAGCTGGATGCACTAAGTAGGATAATATGTTCTAGGGCAGTTAGCAGCTCAGGGCAGGGGCAGGTCTGTGCTTCAAGCAGTGGAGCAGCTCTGTAGAAAAGATCTACCAAGAGTGCAAACAATTCCTATCCCCTCAGAGCTTTCTCTTTCTTCTCACCCTTTACCTGAGAACACTCCCAACACTCACCTGGGAACACCTGCTTCCCATCGGTAGGAGGGCTGATGATCTTCACACTCTTTTGGGCTTGAACTGGAACAATTAGAAGCAAGTAGGGCCCATAGAAAGAAAATTAGTGACAGCACATGAAGGGCAAATGAGTAACTATTTGCAAGTCTTTGGTAGTTAAAGAGCATTCCTGGGTTGCAGCAGCGGGCAGTGGTGTGTGAAATGGGTGTCATGCCAAGGTTTTCCTCGGCTGGTGTGGTTCCTGTGGTTGGATACAACTGTTGTTTCTCCCAGGTCACTCATGTGCCCACCAAGACTTGGCAATTTGGGACCAGGAGTCCTGCTGGGGATGGACATCTGCCCTGCTCCCACCCTCCCCTGGGGCACTTCTTGGATGGGCAACCAGCAGGTCCATCACTGACAAAAAAAAAATCTGGTCTCTTTTTCTACTGCTCTGACAGCACAGCTTTGAGGAAACCTCTCATAGTGTCAGATATTTTTAGTGGAACTTGCAGGAGAGAAAGCAAAGGACAGTGTTAGTTCTTTGTATGTTATGTTAGAAATCAATGTACCTAAATGGCATTTTAATGGGGTTTCTGTGTATTTCTCGGTAATGTGGTTACTTCTGTTCCAGCAGTGGTAGTGGACTTATTTGCTGTCTGACACCTGGATTATGATGGGACTCAAAGTTATCATTTAGTTGTGCAAAGGACGGGAAGAAAAAGGGGATTTTGTGCAATTCTTAGGTGGGATCTGTAACTAGGTCTAAAACTAGGGACTCTGTAATAAATTCAGTGCTTGATTTTGCATAATCAGGGAAAATTTAGGGAAAAGAATCTAATGGGGAAGAAGAAAAAACCAGAGGTGAGGAACTAACCTCATATTAAGAACGAAGGAACAAACAATTTCCAGAGACAGAGAACTTCTGCTGTTCTTACAGTAAAACTTTTATTTTCTCCATGAAGTGGAACAGTAAACATTGCCATGGGCAAAGCCTTTAGGAGAGCCTGAAAATGTCACTCAAGCCATGCAAATTCCTAAATGCAGAGGTGCCTGTTGGGTGATCTGAACTCCATTCCTGGGCAGCAGCAGCTGTGTGCTGGCTCCAGCAAGGAGAAGAGGGCTGCTTTGGATCACTTCTGCAGCCCTTCAGATTGCAC